GTGAGAAATAAAACACTGGATTGCATCACATGTGCCTTTAGATACATTTGAATCTTAAACTGGTATTTATGCATTTTTGGAGTAACATGAGAAATAATGGAGTAGCAATGACTCATTTCTGTCGACCTATAGGTGGAGCAAGAAGAGAGACAAACCCAAATGAAAAAAATAGTACGTTTTTCTTATCTAATCTGCTTTGCTTTGTCCTTCCTTTTTATTTTTATTTTGTTTATTTCACCAACTCCTGGGGAAATTTTAGTATATTCACTATTATATACAAGGTTAGTTTATAATTGACAACAATCATAATTTGAACAGTGAAATTTTATTTTTTACATAGATTTTTTAGATTATAGACATACAATTAATATCAGAAAATATATTTTAAATCAAATATTAAAATGTTAACTGTTAAATTTACTTAACCATAATGGAAATTAAGATTAGAGTCAGTAAAATTTCACCATAGTCATACAGTCAATTTTCAAAAAAAATCTAAAGCATTTGTTCTAAAATTTTGAACTTCTGGCTCATTTTGAAATCTGATATTTATTGCAACTCACACAAGCCCCAAATCATGACTTTAATTACAACATTTACATTAGATAAAGTGTTTGGGGGGGGAGGATTACTTTTTCATGTAAGGTCTCGTAGGTTTGGGTATCTTTTTTACCTTAATAAATGAAATCATTGTTTACATTTTATTTAATTTTTTTAAACCCAGAGGTGTGAAGAATATGTAAAAAAAAAAAAATAATCAAGATGGGGTCATATTTTTTTAAGCCACTCAACAAATCACAAATTTGCCTCAAGAGTCTTTGAAGATCCTGAGTTGGGATAATTATCATGAAAAATCCCAGAAAGGTGATTCTTTTCATCTTTACGCAATGTTATAATTGGGAGAAACATTTCAACACTCATCCTGACTCTCATCCTGACTCCCCCAGTCCCCATTGCTTGCTAGTTCCCCAACTTTATGAACAGTACATTTACATGACAATTAACACCATCACA